CAAAAATCATCTTTGAATTAATTTGAAATCAGTCATATGAAAAAAGTGACAGTAAATCATCATTATCTTTTTAATATGACTACGCAGAACAGAGTTGGCTCTTTCTTTCAGGCACAGGTTTTGTTTGTGGGAGCCTGTAACATGTGGACACATTGAAGAATTGTTATTAATGGAATCTGTGCATTTTGGGTCAATTGTGTTCAAACATTGCCATTAAAATATGTTCATGTACACCTTATAATACATTTCAGTTGTATTTTGAACTTCTATGCCTTTTATTTGCTTTATTAAAGGATGACACAGTGCACTTTCTGAGTGTAATGATACACTGTGAAGTAAATTACATTGTATGTGGGCTAAAGTGATTTTTTTTTTTCCACTGATTTCTCATTGCCACCTTTTCTAACAATAAATAAAGCTATAATGTAATTCCCTGTAATACACATATGATATGTGACTCCAGTGGTATAGGAGTCTTCTCCTTTTTTTTAAACTAAAAATAGGACAATTTGAAAAGGTCCTCTTCTGGAGAATCTCTTTCGGTATCTTGTTTGTGAACAAGTAAAATGTCAATGTATAGGTACCCTAATGGAAAATATTGGTAACTGATTATCAATTTCCACTTGTTCAGGCTATGTTAGCAAATTTTACTATCTCCTCTCTTATAATACCTTTCATTAAAAGCCAAAAGCTTGAGCCTGTAGTTGCAACTTTCAGCTATCTGTTCTGCATGTTTTATCAGGTTGTTTTCATGCAGTACATACAGTCAGTCATGGAGCTCTGAGGTTTATAATTAATTCAAAATCCCTAGCTCATAACTGCATGCATACTTGTGTTGGTTGGTCCATTTGGTCTATGTATAGATTCGGTTGTTGGTATGTTCTTGTGGACACAAAGCTCTTCTTGCTTTGCCTCTTCCTTTTGAACAGTAATGGTCATTTAAAAAAAAAAAAAACTCAGGAAGCTTCCTTTTTTAATACTCTGACTTATATCGGTGAATTTTTCTGATAACCTGTAATTAACTGTAGGGAAATTCTGAATATAAAAGAGGAAGCATTTTTAAAAGACTGGGAAAAATTTGAATGAAGTCAAATTAAACCAAAATGACAGAATAGTTGTGATGTAATCTAAAATGAAAGCAAAAATGTATTAGAATATGAGTATATAAATACGGGAGTAGGATCAGCACACTGACTTAATTGTTATAAAACTGGATAACAATGTAGTGTTAGCAACTGATTAAGATATTCTGCTGCTTCTTACTGTCTCTGTGGAGGATCATTTTATGTGTTTGTGCAGCCAAATTAACATAACTTACGAAGTTGCTCAGTTACATGAATGGAGGTTGTCAGATGGAAATGCTTTAATTGACTGCACGTTGACAAGCAGATAGTTAGTTAATTGTTAGGTTACAATAATTTCTTATGTTGAAGCTATATAATGAAATAAATAGACAATGTGAATGATAGCAGCTTTATTGGGAAATCAGCCAGATTAATATACACTTAGACTAAGTATTTACATGTGGAGAGATGTTTGCGCAGATGCTTAACTGGGTGTGGTAGTCTGCTTGTAAGTAGTTCCATTCCCGAAACTGTGCAGTTAGGCACAGTAATCAAGAAAATCCTGCAGTTTTCTACACCATGACATTTCCATAATTCCCTTCATTCATGTGCAGTTAATGCACGCATTAAGCCAAGGCACACTTAAACTTCACAGCGTCTCTTTTCCTAAGCGTGTTATCGATGCCTCCTTTGAGACGGCAATGAGCTCACCCACCTTCGAGTGGAAACGTGGTAAAACCAGAAGCACGGCATAAAATCGTGAGCTTTTCCATTGTGGCTTTGGCAAAAGCTGAAAACTGTTGGACCCTAAATCCTTGTTTTTCAATTACAAATTTTAGCTATTTCGATCTGGAAAATAGCGAGAAACAAATAACATTAATTGAAATTACTTATCTGTGTCATAGAACAGAAACACTGTTTTGTTTGGCACAAGCATTTTTTTCTCATGGTAGTTAAACATTTTACCTTTTATCCTCAAAATGAGCAGTTTACTCTCCCTTCTCTGGAACATTATGCCTAGCTCAGGGAAAGAGAGAGAGAGCACAGCAGGATACATATCATCTTTCTCCTCAGTGTGACTCCCTTATATCTGTTGGCCTCTCTAGCCCCCTCAACAGCCCCCTCCATCAGCATCCCTCCATCATCCCCCGCGTCTCTCCCCTGCATTCTCAAGCTCAGGTTTTATCTGCCTCTGCTCTCTCCGATTTCAATCGGTGGAAATTAGAGTAGGGCAAAAAAAGCACGAAGCAGGAGAAGTAAAAGAAAAGGAAGGAAAATAAAACAAAGGAGAGCTTGAAACAAAGAAGAAAAAGCAGCATCAGAGCTGGAAGATGAATAAAAGGAGTATTGGGGTCTTGGCTTCTTGCTGTAGTGGTGAAGCAGCAGGACACAAAGAGAAGAAAACAACATACAGGGAATAGTTTTCCACACAAGCAACAGATAAACAGTACACACGGCAAAACTAACTGGGCCCAGACTACGGTAGCTTTCAATGTGACTCAATAAAACTACGTTGCATAAGACATAATCTCCACAGAATTTTCATTGTCGGTGTTCAAAGGTGGCCTAAATACTTTCAATGAGTGCAAAAGGCAAGATAGAAGTTAACTTTGAAATGCAAACACACTTGCTTGACCAAATTCTGTTCATTTCAAATTCCCTTGAATAATAAATCTAACAAATGCCACTGTTGAAGTCAACTTCAGACCTCATGCGATTCTGCATAATTCCCCCAGTTCATTTATTTATTCATCATATTTCATGTGCATCCCTGTATGGATTATTGTATGCTTGAAAGATTAAATACCCCAAAGGAGTAAAAGCAGGAAGCAGCCAATCACGAGGGCTCTGAACGAGGTGAATTAAGCACAAAGTTAAGCAAATCTTAAGCAGATCAAAAATTTAAAACCAAATCAATGTTTTGCCCAGGCCTCGGGGTTATTTTCAGCCAGCAGGAACACTCCCAAAGACTCTAAAATTGAGTTTTAAAACACACATACGAGACTGAAAAATGTGAAAAAATAAAAGATCCACATAACCCAATGTAAAAAATAAACTGGAATTATGGATATATCCTTTTTTAATACTTGAGTGACTTCTTGAAATTCAACATGCCGTATTTTGCACCCTATAAGGCGCATAGCACAGAAGCTAGAGTAGTGGCTGGGGTTCCGTTATGCATCCATTTATGCAGCTGCGCTAATGAGAATGTCACATAACACTCAGATAAGTCAGTTAAACTTTATTAATTGAATACAAGCCAGCGTTCTGACAACCCTGTTCACTCCCAAAATGAATTAATTGTATTATTTTTCCCGAAGTAATGTCGGTGACGTAGTGTTTTCGCGACACAATTTATCTTTAACAACAACAATGTATAATAGGTAGTGCAACATTGTCATTATGTAGTGAACGGCAACTTTTCCTCGATTCAGTAAAAACGCAAAAGAAACAGTCTGATACCATTACAGTATAGTTAGTGCTATAACAATATAATAACTCTCGAAATAGTGAAAAGCAATAACAATAAGACAATAACTCAATGTTGTTCAAACGCCGTGAATGCCAATTGGTTAATCAACTGTCCATCCCGAGAGCGCCTCTGCACCCACTATCCGTGCACCTTCCCTACACCTCCCCTCCCCTCCCGCCCCCTCCAAAACTACCCTGTACATTGGCCTGAAGCCATGAACAGTAACTAAAACTAAGTTTATCTCTCAATATGACATAGTTTGAAACACAACAGCTAGCAAATGAATGCAACTATTTGTGTCTTCCAAGGCGAAATGTCTGAGAAATATAAGACAGCAAATATAAACTCAAAAATAAATTCAGAGGATATTGAATGAGCAGCACCGAGGGCAATAAATCCTCAGAAAGACAATATCACTGTCTCTTTTATTATCGTTTCATTTGACATTATGTGCATATTGTTCCTATATTTCCTATACTTGAACCCGCTGTTTAGCACATCTTATAATTATTTCTCCTATGCTGTGAAACATTTATTTTCATCCACTTTGACTATAAGTGGACAACGAAGTCAACAAAAACTTGCATCAGTCCTCTGTTGTGAATCAAGGCTGCAGCAGGTATACTGAGTACCCAGTGCTTCAAAGAACTCACCCTCACTGCACAGGACATGGCTCCAGGGTCTGCTTGATGTGGGGATACATCTAAAAATACATGCAGTTTGCTCTTCATACATATTTTGTTTACTTTGCTGAAGTAAACAGAAATGATCAGGACATGCTACTGTTGAGTACCACAGCATCCCACACAGCAGGGACTGTAAATCAACCGTGCTCCGCCTGTGTTTTAATCCCTTGCTCTTGGGACCAAGACTCATTATGGAGGAGACGGACACACATAAGCCAAGCCGATGTCAGTTTCAAGTCTAAGAAACCAGGTCGAGTCCATCTTTCTTCCCCTGCCAACGTAACAGCACGGATCATCATTATTTAACCTAGAATACCACACTGTCCACTGACAAGTGTGGCACTGGCTAGAGTCCATCACACTGTGGTGGATCCTGTTAAAGGGGTTTTATGGAAGCTGTTGTCGAACAATGGCATCGGTATAACGGACCTGTGACCTGCGCTACACATTTAAATAATGGGCTTAAACTGTTCGCTTACAATGGGACAAAAAGTTGGCCTTGTCACAAAGAACAGAGCATCCTCAGGGTAAATGGAGCCTGATGCTAATGTACAACTACATCTGTGAACTTAAGATAGGTTAACACCCTTTCAATATGGAGCAGGCACTTTTTAAAAGAATTATGGAGAGTACCATCTGTCTTAAAAGAAGAATGCAAATTGAATGCATTGTCATTCTGAACACATTTCTTGTGCATTATGTTTACCGGCACGCCACAATAAGCAATCCATTTATCTAGTATCACACAGAACTATTAGGGGTCAGTGTTTCACTTACCTGAGTTTTCATCAACCCTCTCCTCCACAGTATGATCCTTCTGATGGACCCACTCGCTGTTGCACTTAAAGTAAATTTGCGTGGCAGGCGTTGCTTTGCAGTAGAGATTGACTGGCTTATTCTTGACAATGTACCCTTCCTCAGGTTCGAACAAGAAGTGAGGTAAGGGCTCTGGTGGGTCAGAGGGGAATGTTTCCGGGAGCTCACTCAGGCTCAGGAAATCGTCTTCATCTCTCACTGTAAATCAAAGAAAAAGGGAAATGTTTGAGGGATCATCAGTCTCCTTTTTATCAACTCTCAAGAAATGTACAGGGAATGAAATCAGAATTAATGGCATTTTCTCATCTTTTCAATTATTAATTGTTCTGAAATACACACCAGTGAGTATCATGTGCAAAACCCTCCCCTGAATTCAGAATACAAAGGCTAAGTTTCATTATTTCATTTGGTCACCACAAATTACCCCGTTTCAGTCTGTCGGCCTGGAAATAAATTGTTCTCCCTCGAACAATTCATGAAATGCATTGTCAGTTCTGCTTATAGAACCCTGCTTTTAATTTCTGCATATGCCTTGAGATTATAAGAATGTAAAATGGTGAAAACCCACGGAGGGATACAAAGTTATTGATGGGACAAAAGAGAAGAGAAGCGCACAAGCATAAAACAGCAACTCATTAGAAACCCATGGGAGAAGCAAGAATAAATGAAGATTCTTGATACAAACTGATTTTTGCCCAAACTGATTGTACAGACCACTATACATTTAGACTCACACATCAAATTTCGGACAAATGCAGCGTAGCATGCATTTTAATTGTAATTTGCCTAAAGATTCCTTTGTCTCTAATGGTTCAAGTTCTTGCCATCTCTTGGTTGTTTATATTGCAGTTCAGACCATTCCATGGTCTTATTTCCCTCATGGCTGCTGTCAGGAGATCTTTGGTGGGCTTATTTTAATATTAATGGAGGAAGACTTCATATCTTGGGTCCTAAAGCAAAGTGTCAACTGTTTCTGTCGTGAAATAATTTGACCTCTGTGGCATCATGGTTTCCCTCTTTCCAATGGAAAAAAAAGAATCACAGAAAATTGCTCTTCACTTTTTTCTATGCTTGCGAACATGAAGTCTGTTTTTAATGAACTTCAAAGGCATGATTAGTTGCCAAGGCAAACCAAAGACAATGCTTATACTTTGTGTGAGGATGGGAATGGCGGCTATTGTGATCTCTGAAGTTGGATTTTTTGCCGTGCAAATGGAAAGATTACAAATTGGTCCTCATACAGCACATGATTTTAAATGTCCAGCTTTAATAACTAATTAGTAATTATTGGCGAGTACTTATAGTGTATACATTTATTCTATATGCTTCTGCAATTTACAGTACTGCTAATCATGTGCCCAAGTGATATTTGTTCATGATAGCAGAGGCAGTCACTAATCATGTCTTAAGAATTTAAAAATTACGGAAGTGGAAGGATAAGGCTGGAGTCCACATTGGTATTCAGTGGTTTAAAATGTATTTTTCCAAGAAGAACAATTATTATTATAGTTATGCATTTTTACTGTATGTGTAACCTTAACTAATCAGAAACAGACAACAAACAGATTAAATGTCTTGGATTTACAAATAGCTAACAATCCTTCATGATGATGAATGTTTAATTGGAAAAGGACACATTTTGGGGAAGTACTTTTCAGGATGTTGCTGTGAGCTATATTTTTTAAAAGAAATATCCATGTCCCCATCGGGGTACTTCATATTTGACTCAAGTAAATTTAAATTCAAACAGGAGCACAATTATAAGATATAATTTCAATGCTATGTGTAAACTATTATCACCTGTATTAATTGGTTGAAATTCCTCATGTTGCTCTGGGAATCTGCTGGACTGTCATATTCCTTCCTCTTTATTTTGTAATTACTACAGCTATCATTACTGTAATCTAAAGTTTCTGGTCTTTAGTCCTAAATTTGGAAACATTGGAGATTCTGGCTCTGTGTAAGTCAAGTCTTTTCCATGAACAGTAGATAAGAATGGGACTAGAAAAAAAAAACAGCACACAGGAAGAAATAACTGAATCGACAGAGAGGCCAAATCTGAGGGCACAAAGAACCCTCCTGAACCTTCAACTTCAATGTATTTTCACTCTGCCCAAACTTCACACCCCCTTTGGCCTCAATCAAAGGGACACCGACAGTGTTTTGGTGCCAGGTTGCCAAGGTCACCAAAACACAGAAAATTACAAGAGCAGGTGGGAGGTAAAAGAGGTGGCCTTTTTTCATTCTCTCCAACAGACACACACGGGCACGAACACAATATATTAAAACTTCATCCAAATGTGCTTTTTCATCTAACTTGTAATTTCCCTCCACTCCATCATCATCCAGTGTCATTAGAAGCGTCTGGAACTGTGTGCATGTGTGTGTGTGTGTGTGTGTGTGTGTGTGTGTGTGTGTGTGTGTGTGTGTGTGTGTGTGTGTGTGTGTGTGTGTGTGTGTGTATGCATGCAGCCGCCTCACCTGGAAGACGGTGACTCATGGGGGAATTTGGACACTGCTTTGGTTTATTTTTATGTCCTATTATTTCAAAGGAAAAGTTTCCAACGTGCACTTGTACAACTTCTAACACGTCATCATGCGGGTGATGATGTGTTACTTGGGTTATGATGATGACATCATCATGGTATATTATAGGGGTACATTTGTTCATACACACTGTAGATATCTTTCATTCCTCTGTCTGACCTGTTCAAGTTGCCGTGGCTCTTAGAGAGTAGTTACTTGCCTTAGGCTGGGTGCAAAAAGCAGCCTAGGTAAAACAACAAGACACAAATTGTTGAAAATGAGGATGTAATGTCCCCATTTTTATATCACAAAGCTGACATTTTGTCCCATAGCTCTGTAATTAGTTATCTGAGAGTAAGAACACTGGAAGACATTTTTACTACATAATTTCATTATCAGAGGGAATTCTTTTTCCTACTCTTGGTTATTTATTGAGTGTCATGTTCAACTATTTCTCTGTCAGTTATTTACTTGCTACTCGGCCTCTTCTGTCGCTGCTGCCATTTGTTGTTTCTCGCTATTTCTCCACCCCTCCGATTTTTTACGCCTCTCCTTCTTTTCACTTCACCCAGAGCTCATTCTCACCCTCATCTGTCATTCAGAGAGCTTTAGGGCTTCATTGCTCTTGAGCGACAGCTATAAATTATTGATTGGCGTAAGAAACATGATAGCCAGCGAGAAGGGATGGTGGAGTGGAGAAAAGGGGAGGGGCAAAGCTACATTTTCCCATGAATAAAAGCTTTGTTTCAGAAATGCCCTCAGCATTCTGTTCTTTCTCTTTGGCACCAACCTCATTTCTTTTGTCCGATCATTCACCAGCTAGGATTTTTACTCACTCCATATGTTTCACCTCATTTTTACCCCCACTGCTCTCAAGTGATCTCTTGACAACGATACATACTGATCCCAACAGCCCGGCTCATAAATGTCTTGTCTGAATGCTGTCAACAGTTACTGATGGATGTAGCAGAGCACTGTCTAGGTTTGACTTATGGCATGTTGTAAATATGTACTTGGAGTAAAAACAAATGTATTCCTTTTCTAAAGCCGGTAGGCTTGCCAAAGACAGAATATATGTGCGCACAAGCAATGAAAGTGAAAATCCGATAATGATAATGTTGTCAAGAGTGACTGATCATGTTTCGGTGTCAAGGATCTTGTGTGCATAGAAAGGATCAATAAAAAGGCGGTAAATTGTGTGAGGGAAATAGATCAAATTTAATGTAATAAACTTTGAATGTAAAAGCTAACTTTGAATAACGTTTAAAAATACTTAATTCTTTTACCAGTAAAAAGAACAGGTTATTCATAAGTCATGTTTTAATCAACAGAATTCAGCAGGAAATCACCTAATTCTGCTTCTAGAGAAGAAAAAGTGGTAAATACTAGTTAATATGAATGAAAAATCAATACATGCACCACAAGGAAAAATACGTTTTATTACGACAAGACATTCCCTTCTTTCAGCGTTAAGTTGATTGATTTTGGAGGTTATCAGGTCTCTGATTTGCATCCTACAGGGTCACCTTACATGTTACCAAACCCTGAACAATCCCAACCCAAATAAACACAAACTATCTGAACAACTGGGAAAACGTTTGCTTTTTGTAACACCGCTTGACATTTACTTAATAGTTATAGGGAGCAACAGCTGTCAGTATTGATTTCCAAAGTATGAACAATCATAAATCAACATGAAAGCTCTGCTGGTTAGTTCACTCATTTCTAAAATAATCTATAACTACTGCATTATCAGTTTTCCAAAGAAAAAGCGTTACTTGAAAAGATCAGTGCAGAGTATTTATTCAACTAAATTAGAGCTCATTTGCAGGTTTCTTATATGCAAGTGTGCTGTTTTTCATAGCTAATATTGTTTATGCTAAAACAAGCAATGTGCCAGGATTACCACCAAAGACGACCCTAAAGACAAGGAACGATAGGAAAGGGTGGGATTTGGCAAACCTACAAGCCGTGGTGTGGTGGACCACTGTCTATGGCGAATTACTTTGTAATCAAGTTATCAATAATTGTTTTTGACGCCACCACAGGAGTCAGCTGTGATGGAGGGAACACATGCAATACTTTTTCAGTCAAATGTGTTTTTACTGAAATTTATCTTGAGGCTGTGCTCATTCAGGCTGCTCCAGTAGCATGTTCGTGTAAAATGGATGGCGAATGAATGAAGGGTATATGTCTCCATCAGTCCAAAATAAGTAATCGAGCTTGCAAATGTTTGCTCCCCACAGAATTATGTTACTGAGGAGAGATAGTATGCTTTCCAACTAAATACAAAATCCAGATGATCGTGGGTATTTGAAAAAGTCCTTTAGGGAATCTAATGTGTCTCTATATGTGTGTTTTGATCAGAAAACACCTGAACAAAGTTTGCAAAAAAAACTGAGAAAAAGTGATATCCCCTCAAACGTGACACCAAAAGCTAAAAAATAACCGTGTTAAAGAGGTTAATAGTTGAGAGCATTGCCATTATGTAAAGTACACCAAACAGAGCCATATAAGGTCAAATGTATCATGGGTAGAATTGTGTGTCTGGGTCTTGTGTTCATGGTACTGTGAGCAGTCTGCGATGTGTATCAGTGCAGTAGCCGTGGAAATCATGAGGTCATACCTCTTAATGTCTTATCAGATTGTTGGTATCTGCAGCAGCTGCAAAAACATATGCACACTGAGAAACGGGCACCTCTCACACACATACCGTAAATAGAAATACAAACACACTTTTAATACTGACAACCAACAACACATACGCAGGCAATCATGGGCGAGCAAACAGAGCTGAAACAAAAGCCTTTCTACCCCAAACATATTGTTGCCAAATTGCAGTCACACAGACAAATGGGAACAAAAATAAAACCTACAATCCCACACAAAGGTGGATGTGTGCACACAGGCAAAAAAGATAAACTCACATATTTCTTCATTTTCCTTTCTTTCTCTCTGCCTAACTCCCACTTTCTCACAAAGATTCACACATTGTTTTCACAAAAACAGGAAAACATAAATTCCCATTGATGGCACTCGCATTATCCAGAGGTCCAACAGCCTCCAGAACTCTTGCTTTCAATAATTCCACAAAAGGGAAGCACAAACACTTGTCCTTATGGTTTCCTTTATCACATTCCACCTGAAAAGACAAATATGAATGCTTTCGGCAGACAATTTGGGAGAGTTTAGGGGGATAGAGAGAATAATCAATACTCTCAGAGGGAAGGGCTGATGTGGTAGCAGAAATATTTCATGGCTGTGGAATTAGATATACGACGTTAACCATTTACACACAGGCACACACTCATACGACACACAAGTAAGAGTAGAAATGAAAACACTTGGACCAGTACTTGAGCATTGCAGTGCTCACAGTCTCTCAACTGCCTTTAATGTTCTATTATAACTGCTTGAAGAAAATAAAAGGCTACATTTGATCATTGCCTTTCCAAAAGCTCTCAATGGGGGTTCAGTGCTTGACTTTCTTAAGTTTACCCCGGCACTGTTCAATTATTCATGCTTTAGAACAGTACCTTTGTGTGTGTGAAGTTACATTTATTTACTATTGATATCTCTGTGAAACCTAGTTAGCTAGGCAGAGGGACATTTCCTCAACAGTAATGAACTTTTTTAAAATGGTGATTTTTGGAATCAGCACCAGACATACTTTTTCTTTAAAGTATTTCTTTGCTAATTCCAAAAATCTGCATTTTTATTAGCACCTATTAGTTTTTGTTGGCATTATCAAAGTTTGTCACAGCATTTTCACAAGACCTGTTTTATTCAGGGGGATTACTTTTTTAATACATTTTGAGACCAAAATGGAAAAATCAAATGACTCTTTGAAACAATATTCATACACTAATATGCTAAGGCCATTTGAGAATTGTCGACCAGAGGACGCAGAAAGTCTATTAGTTCCAGTAATCGCACACTTCTTATCATACAATCTTTCTTCCTCTCTTTCATTCGTTTTAGATGTTCTTTTCTCCCCTGTTCTTTCTGAGTTGTTTTCATAAGATAAGTGGTTTAGATGAGGGCAATGAACCAAAGACCTGTAAAACTATGCTGGCTGACAAAACTTATAATAAACCACCAGTATGCAGGTTGAGGGTGTGTGAATTTCTGACACTCAAATAAGTTTATCAAAACTTGAGGGTTTGTTAGTTCAGTTCGACTCTATGTCCCAAAAAAATAATACAGACAAGACTGTATCCTATACCTTCAATTGTGACGTTTTTTTAGACACTAGACAAAATTAATTATATCCATCACATTGAAACTAAATCAAGGTTTTCTCTTATGTTGTCCATTTAATAAAAGCGCAATTCTCCATTATCTTTTTCCAAAGGGATCATTTAGGTATCATAGATTTTAACAGAAACTTTAAGAAAACAATTAAATGGAATGGTTTCACTTCAGATTTTCATCCAGTAGTTGGCCACCGGTTTGATGAGTTTTCAGTTTGCCATACTATGACATAGATTTATATATTTCCTGTTCAGTGTGCAAAACTGGGAGGTCATTTGTATATATAGGATGACAGACTTAAGATATGATAAAGCATGCACAGAACAATGCTTGTCATCGCCAATTATTCATCCAGCAGGATTTTAGAACTTGTCTCAGCAATTCATTATGGCAGAAAACACTTGAATGGTGGAACATCTTAATATGGAGCAGACACTGACAGCTGGCTGGCGTCTTCTGACTTTCAATGTGCATGACACACAAGGCCCCAACTTAAGCCCAAAACCAGATTTACAACCCTGCCTGCAGAGGGGGTGACTCGGTCAGGCTACAGCTTGCCTCAGTGAAAAGGACCGACGACAGGCACTATTTGTAGAAGAAAAGAAGGGATAAATCTAAGGTATACGGGTGGCCAAGGTGGTAAAAAATGAATGAATAAAATAGATAAAAAATCTTTTATACCACACAGATCTCTACTAAATACATAAAGAACCTACAAGC